TTCCTCTCTGAAAAACCCATTCACTTAACTGCCAAGGGCTAAAATTCTGAAACGACGGTTGCTGGATCAAAGGAACAATCAACTCTGTGCTCTGACGGTGCAACCGTGCACCAAATGACTCGGACGTACTTCCAAAATCGAAGCGCACCTGCATTTGCCACTCCTCCGGTGTAAAATCATAACTCCTCTTCGCGTGGGCCCCGAGTGGCATGGAGTTAAACGGACGGAAGGGGCTTTCTTAAAGTCTAGATCCGCCAGTTGGATGAGCGACGCACTGTGCGAACGTGCCAGGAGTAACGAGCTTATGCGATCCGCCTCAAAGGCTCTGATTCATATCGGGGGCAGGTCAAAAGATCTCATTTCCGAATCACAAAAGGCACTTACCAGGTCTATTCAAATGAAAATCTCTTTCTCGCAGCCGGCTGAATTCGCACAAAACTCAACTTGGATTGAATTACATAGGATCGAAGCAAGTCATATTTTTTTTTTAGAAAAAACACGAAATTGCAGCCAAAACACTGCACGTCGTAGGATGGTAAGGCAAAACTGGGTCCAAATTATTACCAGAAAAAGACAAAACTGGGGGGAAAAAATAGAGACTCCTGGAAGGACTCTGATGTGTTTCAGCATGGAAAACATGTGTTAATGGTTTTGTTGAGCTTGACTAGCCAAAAATATTGATAGCAAAGATAACAGAAAATATCTGATAATATTAATAATAATACAATTTTTTTTTTTTTTTTTTTTTTAAACGCGTTTAAGATCTCTACCGTTCATTAGAACTGTTGGTGGCAGGGCGGTGTTGATGAAGACAGCGCCTGCATGCGACTTTTCAAACTTCAGGTCTAATATATTGCATACACCCAAAATTTAAAAAGCTCAAAGTTCTCCAAGTTCACTAGCTAGCGCGAGCAAGCAACTACTTTTTGTAGTTTTAACTACGAAAGTTTTGTAATTTTAACTACAAAAGTTTTCTAGTTTCTACTTTTTTAAGTTGTAGTTGAGAGTAAGTGGATCGAATGAAATACGGAAAAAACCGGGCCAAATTTTTGACAAAAATGAGTTGGAAATAAGTTTGAGCCTGAGTATCCGCTCATTTTCTCCCGACAAAAAAATAGAAGACAAGGACAAATATTTTTGATAAAAGAAGCGTTGAATTTCACTTCTAATAATGAGGCTTGACACAAAGTAAAGCTTTACACATCTTATTCTCGGCTGCACGCGGTGTGAATTGGTTCGTCTCCATAACGTCCAATAGTCGTCCTATATAATTCCAATTCGCATTGATGCTTATCGCACAGACAACCTCCCATCTCCCATTAAAACTAAATGCTTGCCTTTATTGAACGAGTTTGGACAGCAACACCTATCTGAAAAACCCTTTAGGATCTGAAAATAGTGCCGACTTCTGATGGGTGGTGGTGGTCGGTTGCCAATAACGACTGGCGGATATAACCTGCACTTGTTGGAGCCTTGCCACAATAGAGGCATACATTGGAAACAAATCTCTCAGGGATAATTTACAAAAGTGGTTTTTAAACGGAGGTCGCATCCACGCCAAATAAGTTTACGAATTTTCAGAGTGTATTTGTCACACTCTCAAAATTCGTAAACTTATTTCATGTGAATTCTGACATGGATTATTGTGTTTTTCAGATGAAATTCTCGGTAAAAAATGCCTTTTAACCTACATTAGCTTGAGACGTCCACTTTACAGCCCTACAATGGCCTAGGTTCACTAAGCTAAGTAGAAATGAACTTGACGGTGTATGCACACATACATTTTTAACGAATTCACTCCATTTTATTGATGCCTCGATATGATAATAATTCATTTACGATTACATTCAATATTTAAGAAAAATTTAAAAGAATTACAGCTACTAAAATCTCTGATTTTTTTAACATCGAGGCTTTTCATTGATGTTCTATCATTGATTTTTTTTGCTGGGTCTTCATTGAACTGTAACTTTAAAGCCATTGAATATTCATCAAATTTTTCATTTGTAGGCAAAAGATCCCTGACGCGAATTGAATTTCAGATATTAGCGTCAGTTGTTGGAGAGTGGTAACTACAGTTTTACCACAGAGGATGCTTAGAGCCATTTTCCCGCTATTTTTGGATCATGGACAACCCAAAAATGGCCTAAGACGGCTGAACCTTTCAAAAACGGATCCCCAGCCCAGCAGTGTATGCTCTAGCATACACTCATCTTACAAAGGGTACTACAATCTGCAATTGGACTGCATTTTGCAATTTGGAGCTATAAATTCTCGCTCATCTGAAAAAACACTTATGTGCACAGGGAAACTAATGGCACATACGTTGTTTTTAAACCGGGCTAGAATTTATAGCTCTAAATTGCAAAATGTATCGGTACCCAATACCGAATACCAATATATCGGTGGCTCGTTTCATTGGCTCTTCATTTAAATTGGTAATAAAATCGCAGAAAAATAATTTACTGTGCTAAATTAACATCCTTGAAGTTTTTAAGAAAGGAGGAAAATACATTAAAGAAACATATTACGTAATACTACCGTAACTTTTGAATAGTGGCATGGCGTGCTTCGAGATGTATCGATTGATGTACCATTTGAATCTATGGAAAAGGATCGATAACAACGTTCACCTTAATAATCGATTATTTACCACAGCTTCAAATGGGGAAATATCGATGATCGATCATTCACGCCTCGCCACTGATGTTGAAGACACTGCAGTATGCTGTGGAGAACTCCAACAATTTAACACCTACGCACTCCTGAAGTGGCACTATTAAATGAAGGGGGTGTTAATGTCAAGGGGTAAAAGCAGCGTGTAAAAGCGGAAAATTGGTCCATCGGTGCCTTTTCATTGATGCTTTGTTACTTCGTCACCTTTCGGCCAAAGTGTTGCAAGCGCTATACGACGTTTCAAAACTTCCGCCACCATTTTATTGTTTTTGCAGAGGAATTGTTGGTTGAATCTGTTTGAAAATTTCACTGAATTTTATCGGCTGCGCAAAAAAATTCAGCGACATTTTCAGCCAGCTTAATTGGAACAATTTCCTTGTGAAAAAATAAACTTCAGGCAGAAATTTTTAAACGTCGCGTGGGGCTTGTGAAACTTTGGCCGGAAGGTGATAACTTGCTTCCCTTCACTGAACTCTGATCTAACTTATAACGTCACCCATCTAACACTAAGGGGTATCTCAATTTTTCCGTGAGCCCTGTTTTACATTTAAATCCATGCTTTCTGAGGGTCATGCGGAAATCGAGCACTCTTACTTCCCAGTAACAATGATAAGCTATATAAAAACTCAAAAAATGTGACACGCTAAGGGTAAAGAGACTCTAATACAAATTAACTCATAATACTTGAGATACTGTCATCAATTCTAACTGAATAGTTTTTCAAAAATTTGACAAGAGGTATTTGTACACAAAAATTGACCAAAATATGTTTTGAGATCGCTTTGAAAGAGCGCCCCAAATGAATATTATATCGAAAATGGAAAGGAAAAATGATTTGCATTTCACGCTTGGGACGTGCTTTTGAAGTAATTTACTATAGTCCTTCGCGTACAATTACCTAACAAACCACAGCGGGTTATCACGATACTCGGAAATTCTTAAGAAATGTTTAAAAATAAATACATCGTTATTTGATTAATCCGATCATGTTGTTTTTCAAAAAGCTTAAACCCCCACTTTTTATGCTAGTTTAAGTGCCGTATTTTGCCGACAGGGGCCCGACCGTCGAAATTGAGGAGAGCAGAGGAAGGGTGGATGAAAAACAGAGAACGAAAATCCATGCACCTCTCCAAAACGCCAAGACCTGAGACCATCAAATCCTGTCATTCAAGCCGGGATTTGAAACAAGGACCCCTTGGTCAGCTGTCAGTTGCAGTAACCACTAAACCAACAGTTGTCGGCCAAGAATACCATCGTTAAACTCGTAAATGGAGTAAATGGACCGCGTTTAGCAGAAAGGAACCAAGCCTCATCAGCTATTGCCAAATAGGGAGGGAATTTAGACATGGGTAAATACGGCTGAAACATTAAAACCACTAAAAAGCAAATGGCATTGGGACACATTTTAAACATCTAAAATTCAAAAAATGCAAAAAATAAAAACTTTGAGCGAAAAAAGTGTGGGGGAAAAATGATTTTAGCAGATGATACAAAAACACTTTTGGTTCCAAAGTTTTCGTTTCATTTGTTTTAGAAAAAGTGATTGAGAGCTTCCAAGATGGGTAGTTTATAAACTAGACCAGTGACGCGTCTAACTTAAACAAGACCCAACGCAGTTTAGTTGGTCTCCTTGTTTACGCCCAAACCAGCGTGCGGCAAACAACGTATCAAGCCAAGTTAGGTTTGGTTGGGTTAAGCAACTAAACTAACTTCGCGGTGAAGCTTAGGGTATCCGCGAAGTTGAAGGCGCTTCGCTGCGTTCAAGCAGATCAGTTTTACAAGTCGCATCAAAACTGGAATGAATTGGTAGACAAGGCAAGAATTTAAGCATTCTGCTCTATGGTTCTTATCCAAAATTTCACAAAAAAGTTTCCGCAAACACAAAAATCACTTATTCGCAATTTTAACAAATTTGTATTAATTTTCTTTTCTTTTTTGCAGCGAAAAATGAGCTGGTAATAGGTCAAAACGTCCTGGCTTTTAGTTTTTAAAATATTTTTAGCCTTGTTCACCCATGTTTTAATTCCCACCCTATTTCTTCGTATATTCGGGCTATGTTTTATCGCTACCGCCAAATTTAACCAGGCAGTTACATTTTTTACAAGAGAAAGTTAGTGCGGATTTTTTGAAAATTTTAAGGAATTTGCAACGTACTGTGCGGAAAATTTGCCGAAATTTACAACGATAAAAAAAATCCGCACAAAATTTTCCATGTACAAAATTAAATTGCTCCGTTAAATTTGGAAATGGCTGATGTGGCTTGGTTCCTTTCTGCTTAACGCAGTCCAAATATCGATAGGGGTGATTAAAAATTGATTGCTTACCGGATATCGACTGGAGTGATTGTGTTGGGTGACGTTTGCATCTTTGAAGCGGAAACGTTGCTGTGGCGACACCGGAAAATTGTCATCTTGAGCGGCCATCATCGAGATCCGCATTGGTCGAGTGACCGGACGATCTGCCCTCGAACAGGCTCATACCTGAAACATTTTGTCCACTTTTTACTGATTTATAAATTCATTTATTCTAAGGATTATTCAAATATGGATAATCAAAGTGCACTTCCCTACTAAATATGATCATGTTGGTGGTTGAAACATAGTACCATGTTCACGCTAACATGGCATTAACATGGGGAAAAAGAGAAATAAAATTAATCAATTAATTTCGGTTATTCTTGTGTGGCCTCCGTGGCGAATTTATTTCACGAATGAAAGGATAAAAAGTAAAATATTTTTAAAATTTACTTCTCGCAAACCGACAATGCAATATAATAAACATTGAACATCCAGAATCCTGTAAACTATTCAGTAGCTTTCAATTTTGAGTGAAAAATGCAATGCATTTTTTGATCTTAACATCAATCCTAGCTCATATCCCTTGTAAATGTGACTTGGTATTCTCATCTGTAAAATTCTGAGCGTATTAAAGACGTCTTGTCACTGCCGTCCACAATATTGCAGCAATAATCTGCACAATCTTGGCAAAATTGCGAAGGGGATGAAATGTGCTTGAAAAAATTGGCTCCATCTTTCATCCGACCCTGGCGTTATTGTTGAGAGGAACCTTCCGTCTCGGCCAATGTAATTTCTTAGGGAAAAAGTCATTCTTTATTCAGTCGTACATCACACAGCTGCACCAAGTTGGATCCAAATGGAGGTTCAACCGGCTGCTTATGGACTAAGGGACGGCTTGTTTGTTTCCGTCAAGGGGCGGAACAATGTGTATACCTTAACCCTTCGATGCCCAAATCGAGTCAAATTGACCCAGGACTTGCTAAAAACACGTGGTTCGCAGGTTTTGTCGGACTGGTGTATTCGAGCTTTAGACAAATACATCCTTAAAAAAAAATCACACGGGGAAAAAAACTTTGTGCGTCACTGAAAAAAAAGTTCGGTAAATCTGAACCAGTTAGGATCATATGGAACCACGATTTTGTTTGGCACACACGACCGAATTATTCGGTCTGCTCAGTCGAACTGTTCGGTCCACTGAACCGAACTGTAAGAATTTATTATGGTTCGGTCGCACAAACCGAACAATTTGGTTGGACAGACCGAATAATTCGGTTGTGTGTACCGAACAAAACCTGGTTCCATATGATCCTAACTAGTTCGGATTTACCGAACTTTTTTTTTTCAAAGGGGACCCAAAGTTAAGGTCATATGGATCTCTGAAGTTTTCGGATTGGGCATCCGAACACTTAAGGTCCATCTGCTGAGGTTTGGATCACACATCTGAAACTTCAGTTCTTACATCTGAGGTACTTCGGTTTTCACATCCGAAAAACTTTGGTTCTCAGATCCGAAAAACTACTGTTCTCACATCTGAAGTACTTGAGATATAAGAACTGAAGTTTCAGATGTGTGATCCGAACCTCAACAGCTATACCTAAAGTGTTCAGATGCTCAATCTGAAAACTTCAGAGATCCAAATGACCTACACGGAGAAAAAAAACTCGTGCGTGGGATCCGAAGTTTAGGTCATATGGATCTCTGAAGTTTTCAGATTGAGCATCTGAACACTTTAGGTCTAGCTGCCGAAGTTCGGATCATACATCTGAAACTTCAATTTTTACATCTGAAGTACTTCGGTTCTCACACCCGAAGTACTTCGGTTCTCACATCCGAAGTACTTCGGTTCTCACATCTGAAGTACTTCAGATGTAAGAACTGAAGTTTCAGATGTATGATCCGAACTTCGGCAGCTAGACCTAAAGTGTTCAGATGCTCAATCTGAAAACTTCAGAGATCCATATGACCTAAACTTCGGGTCCCACGCACGAGTTTTTTTTCTCCGTGTAAACTTCGGGTCCCACGCACGAGGTTGTTTCTCCGTGCAGACATCAAAATGAAAAACAATGTAACATGGTCCGTTGATACTCCCCAGCTGGGACCGTCCGGAATAGCAGCTCTAGTGCAAGCACCAGAGCCGCTAATAAAAGAGCGTCAACACAGCTGAAGATGGGAGTGATGTATTTGGCCTCGTTTCTTAACTTTTCTCCCAAATCTGAGCCACACCTCTTTGGCAGCATAGAGCGGAACATTGAGATTTCCTGCATCGCGCCATGGCGCCTTCAGATTTATGGATGCAACACGGACATCAATCAAGCACGAATAGTGGCATCTCTGCGCCGTCATCAACGCGCTCTGAGGTGTCTATCGAGCTAGTCCCCTTCCGTTACATTTCTTTATATTCTGGCCGAATTTTTCTTTTGTGTAGATAAACTAGCTGACATAACGCCATCACGAATCCGAACGTTGCATTGGAAATTTCAAAATCACCTCACGTGACGGTAGAAAGAGCGGAAGAGAAAGAAGAACAAATCACACTCGATTGAACAAAAAATTTTAAGGTACTCCCCGATTGGCTTTACCATAAAAGCAAGCTACTCGACTTGACACGATTTTTAGAAAGCTAAGGGATAAAATTATGATCACCCTTTCTTCGTACGCGGTAAATGTGAAAAAGCGTGTTAAAAACTACGCAGACAGCGCGCTTTCAGAATTTTTTGATGTGCTTAAAGTGATTTTCTAGCAAATTTTTTCAAAGACTACTGTATTCAGTTGGCTGTATCTCTGGCGTGCAACAGACCATTGTCTGCAACAGAGATAAAAAATTCGGTCTCACTGCGCTCTTCATTAGCGCGGCAGTATTCGACCGGAAAAATAGTAGGGTTTTGAATTGGCAACGGGGGGATATAGCATCCCTATAACGGGAGTTGGCAGGGACCCTGGACAATTACCGATCATGAGGGGACAGGAGGGAGGCGGTGGGGAGGGGAGGGGGCGCTTTCTTTCACTCCAACAGATTTTATGTTAATTGAGCAAGGAGTTTTCTCCGGCCTGATTTGCACGGTCCCTGCCTCCAAAACGGGCTTCTTTTCCTCCACCCTCCCACGCAAAAACAGCTCATCTTCAAATGAAATCCTGCCTCGATACGCGGTTTTGTCTCCCCGCTCGATGATCCCTTCCTATTCAAAACGTTGCCAGGGCAATGGAAGAACGGCTTATGAATATCCGAGCGTTGGCGAATTTCTCGCGATAAGATATTTTATTTTTAGCAGTCTTGACATTTTCATGGTTTCTCGATTTTCCAGAGTTTGGTGGCACAATTATTGTTGGAGGAGTTTTGTCGTTAACATGCAAATGGAGACTTCGCACAAAATATCGTGTCGCTAAAATCCAGAGTTCTCGGTGAGCTGAGCCTGGAGTGGTTTTTACGTTTCACGGAAAAAATTGATTGCTGATTTAACAATGAAAAATTGTAAATAAATAAGTCCGACATATTTCAAACGTACATTTTTCAAAAGTGAAAAGCTGATTTAACCACAAGGGTGATTGAATTAGCATTTTTTTATAGAAAAATCTACATTGAAACAGGTCGGACACTTTTTTAACATACCAACTTTTTTAACAACAAAATTGTTAAATCAGCTTTTTTCCCTTTTTTTCTGATGGATTAATAGTTAGTTAGTTAATTGATTCAAAGACATGCATCATCTTAGGCTATTAACGTATTTACAAAGAATTTGGAAGGTGGGTGTGTATACCAAAATTTAGATTTTTGAATTAAGGGAGGCAATGAGTTTCAGAAGTTTGGTAGTGACATTGGGTTCATCGCATGTTAGTGGATAAATAGTAGGAAATGGATTGAAAATCGAACATATGTACCGTTTCGTCTAGTAATCATGTGAATTTCCCATTAAAACACAAGCGTTTTAGCAGCTTAGCTAAACAGCAAAACGGCAACCTAGCGCATTAGCGATACAGTTTCCTCATGCGTTTATAGTTCTCTCGAGTGTGGTATATTTCTCTACCATCCGGAGTCATCTCATTCACTCCGGCTCTTCTCTTTTTTTAACTACCTGAGTAAACGGCCCATTTCCAACAGTAGTGCTTTCTGGCACGGTATCACCAGCTACAGTATATCGATGGCTAAAGTGCGAAATCGCGTATCTCCGTTTCCAACGCTGCAGACTTCAAGTCATACTTCATTGTTTTTTCGAAAAACTAGTCTACATAATTTCTTGAAAACTTTCTTGATTTTTCTTATTTGTTAGTTGAAATTTTTGTATACATTTCAAGCCATTTAGATGGCTTATTTCTTTTCCAAAAAATAAATAAATAAAGAAAATAAGAGCGGAAATCGTGAAGCACCGCAATAGAGATACGTGGTTTCGCACTTTGGCCACCGATATTTCAGAGGTACAGCAATGTTACCTTTTTTAAATCCGCCTTATGATGACTCACGCCCAACAGTAGAGCAATCGATTTCGCAACCCTTGACTAATTTGAAAAAAACTCTACGAGCAAAGTGTTTGCTCCGACATTCATCAGCCATCATCAGACAAATTTTATTATATTATTTTATGAATATTGATTTTATTCTATGTTCTACAAGTTGCTCTCCAATCACCATTACGCGAAAAATAGCGTTAAACTCCGAATTTGGCCGCCCCCCCCACCCCGCTTATATTGCTTAGATTACTCTTAGTGCGGAGTCATTAGCGGATCCAGCGAATTAGCAATTTAGTTTTCCCTCATTTAAAACTATGGAAATTGATTCTTGTAGAGACTAGGTGCTCTGACAAGAATCGATTACTTAACATAGGTTTAAATGGAGGAAATCCGTTGTTACCATATTGCAGGATCCGCCGCTGTGCGGAATTTACAAAATATATTTTCTCTGACAAAGTGTTCAAATCTACATCCATCAGTCATCATTAGGCGAATCTAATTTAGGCCTCAGTAGACGATCAAATTCCGAACCAATTCTGATCAAAATTGCCCATTTCATGACTGTTGGTTACCTTCCTGTTTGATCAAAGTGGTGAATTCGTAAGTGTCTAAAATTCGATGAATTTCGTGTTCAAGTGGAAACTGCTCTGTGAACTGAACGCGATGGAACCCGTATGGTTCAAAGATGGAACAATTAATAGGGGAGACATGACATAATAACCTAATCTGCTGGAATTTAT